TGTCAATGCAGAATTCACCTAAAAAAAATTATGCATGCTTCAAATAAGAGAATTTACATGCGATATAAATGTTAATGTCATGTTATTTTTTATCATAATCAATATATATAGAACTCATCTCTAATTTAGTTAATGCAAGAGACACACTAATTAGGTATATTCATGTAGTTCTATGTTCAAAAATTATGTAAATGGGGATAATGAAACTTTTAGTCTATCAAGCTTATCTCAATTATCAATTTAGCCCTTCAAGTTTAATTTCAATTGCTTGGTCCCTTAAAATTTGTATTAGTAATTGATTTGGTCCTTCAAGTGAACTAGGAGGTGACACTGTTAAAATTTGCTAACATGAATAACAGAATATTGATAGTAACTATGTAAATTAATGAAGAGAAATGTTATTATTTAAATAAAAAAAGGGAGAATTACTTTAAGATCCCACTCAACACAATTAATTACTTCCAGATTCATTGATAACTGAGCTTAGAATAATGACTTGTCAATGGACCTGGAGTAATTAATTATGTTGAGTGGGATCTTAAAGTAATTCTCCCAAAAAAAGTAGACTTAAAATTTAAAGAAAAAAAGAACAAAATGCAGTGTAAGGAACTAGATTAATAAAAATAAATTCATTTGAGAGCTAATTTATTCTCATTTAGTTACACACGAACATTATTAAATTTACACATTAAATCAAATTTTTTTAAACTTAAAGGATTAATTTAATAATTTAGAAAAACATGATGGACAAGATTAATAGAAATTAAATTTAAAAGACTAAATCAATAACTGAGATAAATTTTCAGAGACTAAAATATTCATTATCCCAAATAAGTATGTACCTAATTCAGCCGCATCCACACGTACGTACAATTCTTGTCCCACATTGTTGAATGTCCTAATATCTTCCATATCAGCATGCCACGTTATGCACCCACTTTGCCTGACCTCATTTGCACTTGTATAAGCTACACACGAAGAGTCCCTTAGGCACTTCTCTTCACACCCTTTCAAGCTCAAGCTCCTACTCTTATCCACACGTGCCTTTGACGTATCTGGAACCTTCACAGGTGCTAACTTCACAAACCCCTCGCCGTTTTGACACGTGGACACATTCTTCTTCCTCACACACCCACCTGATCCGTTCCCATCAGACCACTCTCGCGAGTTCCTGGGTTCAAATCCTGGCAAACATACACACTCGAACTTGCTGTTTTTATTATTATACACATCACATATGCTGTTTGATCCACACTTTCTGTAGTTGTCACAATCATCTGTTGGACCAGACCAAATTTCAAACCATCTTTGCTCTCTAGCTTGCCAAATTGTTCGTGAAAAGTGACCGGTGTTGTCCATCACCATTCTGAAGAACACTGAAGGGTCTAGGACACTAACTGTTACGGAAACTTCATTAGCATCGTCAACATAACTAACGTTGAACACGAAATTGGGTGTCATATGTGGTATGCCACTAAATCTTTGACCTGTCCAAGATCCCCATCGCCAAAATGGAGCTCCATTTTTATATGTGAACATTTGAGGATAGCCTGTTGGGTCGATGCTGAAGCTCATGTTCCCAATACTAGGATCATCATGGGATCTCCATGATGTAAGGACCCTATTGAAACCAGTTTTTCGATCATACCCACGTTTCATAGATGGAAGTATTGTGCCACAGGCATAATCGAAACTCTGCCATAGAACCTTCTGATTCTTTCCTCCATTTTCAAGTAAAACCAAGTTTCCTGTGTCGAGAAGCTGAGCAAAGGTGTCATTATCGTGAGATTTGATCAAAACATCGGACGACCAAAGAGGGTTGTTTAGGTTCGAGTTTATGTCACTCAGAGCAAGAACCATGTTTCCATGGGTAGTGATGGACAAAACTCCAGAAGTATCATTCAGAGGAGTTTTCTCTATTGGCTACCCACACAACAGTCTATTTAGAGAATTTGTTAAACCATATTCCGACATAGCGGTTTCTGGAATTGTTGCTGGGGTTGAAGAAACCCATTGCAAAGGTTGCTCTATCAGAGAGCAAAACGTCGCCGTCTTTGAGAGGTTGGCTTGCCGTTATTCTATGAAGAGTGTGACCATAAGAATGAAAGAGGAAGAGAAGAAACAATAGAGTCGTGATTTGTACGGACTCTTTAAAAGAAGACGCCTTCATGGTGTTATGTTGTAAGACTAGTTTTTTATATAATCAAAACAGACAAGGTTCTAAAGAGATATATATATATATATATATATGAAATCCGTGAGAGAACAATAGAGATGAGGCCAAGGGGCTAACTTTCGTAGTCTATTAATCAGGTGGAGGAAAAGCGGATTGATATATTTTTTTTTCCTGCAAGTGGAATATATAGTGTGATAGAGACACAGATCTAGAAAACGTATAGACTGGTTAACTTTACAGTCTTCGTGATCTAATCTTTTACGAGACTATGTTGAGGTTGCATGAAATTTTCTTAAAAGATCGCTGCATTGTTTTAGCCCAGAAAAAAAATGTCTAAATAAGTGTTCAAAGCCTAATTTATATGAACACACACACATATATGCAGTGACCAGACATTATATTGTTCTTGGAAGACCAACACTTCGCGGTCAATTTGATGTTCTTAAGGAATTGTTTGGTTGTTGAAAAGAAATGGAATGAAACATAATCCGTTGATAGAAGAATAAATATGACTAAAAAATAAGATTATGGATGATAAAATGATGGGAATGATAAACGGAAGGGATCGTGATAGAGAGGTGAGAATGAAAATTGACATACATAAATAGCATTTTTCTCTAGGGGTAATTTGATTTGCGGGTGGCTAATGCTATTTTTGGTATAGATTTTTTTGGAGAGGAGAGAAGATATCGAGATTAAATTATTTGTTTTCTTTTTGAACATAAACATAAAATTTATATGTAAAAGATCACCAAGATATCATGAATATTATATTATTCTTCTATAAAAATATCGCGTATAAAGAATAACACTTAATTTATGTTAAATTTTATTTAATTTGATTTCTGGTGCTTTTGTAATTTATTTGCTATATATGGTTAATTTAACACATATATGGTAAAAATTAAATTATTATCTTCAAATTGGGTGACATCATTTAAAAATTGTTATGTGAATATATGTTTTTTTTTCCAAATATATTTTCTTTGTTCATCAAATGATCTTCTTTTCACTAAACTGAAAAATGTGACTATATTATGATCAATTTAATTCTATGATTATTATATTGCAAAATTATGGGTCAAATTAACCTCCATCAACCAACAGTGACAAGGTTAATTGAATGAAAAGACTTGATTTTTAAATAAGGGAGATAGTTCAAACTTTGTGGAAGAAAAAAAATCATATTGTGAAAAGGCTATCTCAATTGAACATGATAATGTTCCAACCTAACCTAATAGTTTTTGATATCCAAAGATTAATTATATTGTTTATTTAACTAAATAGAGTGGCATTCCTTACAGCAAGGTAAAGGAAAATATAGTACTAATGCATCAAGCTTCAAGGTAAATTATCATTTTAAATTCTAATTTCAGGAAGTTAGAAAAATGATAAATATAATGCCCCAGTCCCCACGTAGCCAGTACCTATCGTTTTCCCTCTTATTTCAAAACCAATATGCACGAAAGAAATGAGATTTTGAAGTCTTCATAGAAGAAAATTGTACAAGAGAAAATGAAGGATTGATGGCGCATCTCTGTGAAAGCGTGTTTCCTAGCAATTTCATGGCACGCATGTCAAGATTAACTTTCCTTCAAGAATCACAAATAATACACAAAAATATAAGATCCCAAGCGTACAAGTCAAAATACAATAAAATAATGTGTCGTGCAAGCCAAAATGCAATAAAATAATGTGTCAAGGTCGTTGTCATGTGGAATCAAATAAAATAGTGAGTGGACATTAAAGTTTCCATTTTTCGTAAGTTATTAAGCAGAAAAAATTGGATTTGACTTTGTAAAATAAAATTGAATTTATGAAATTGCACTAACGTTTTCGAGTCAACAACTACTTATGTCTATGGCAGCCTAGAAGCAAGAATCCCTTATAACACCAAAGGACGTCAATAATCCAACAAAAATACCACATCACTAGTGAATGCAAGGACCCTGCCTATGTCTTATGTGGAGCACCTAGGACTTGACTGTGAAAATAATACAAATTGAAGTTCAAATTTGCATCAAGTTGAGGTTTATTTGAAATAGCTCTTTCACTTCAGTTTAATGATAAAACTTCTTAATGAACACCTTGAAATAAAGGTCCAGCTATACCATCTGAAATCAAAAAATATCTTTTTCAATAAATAACATCCTAATTTATAATTACAGGAAAAGAAAGAAAGAAATATGAATGAAATGAGTATAAATTTAAGTAAAGTCATCATAACCAAGGTGAATAACCCGTAAATCAAATATTCAATGGTCAAGTATAGAATTAGCCACAAAACAGCAAGAGAGAAAAGGAAGAATAAAAGCATAATTGGAGTGATTTCTGACGAAAATCACAAGACCTAGGTGTTACGTTCCCCAAGCTTTCCCACCTTTGGACACTTCAAGGACATGCAGCGGTTGAGAAATTGTGAACTCGTTTGAAATTTTCTCCCCAAGACCATTGAAACGCGACTGTAAGTGATACTGTGTATTTTGTAAAAACTCGTCCGTTATCACGATATGATTGCCCCCTTTGCTACAATAACATTTTTCAAGAGTTAATTTGTTGCGGGGTTTAAAACTTTCAACTTTGGGCCCATAAATAAAACCTGAAATTAATGCCAAAATTGGTCAAATAACTTTTACAATTATCTTGAAACTTATCTATGTCCATTCTCATGAATAATCATCCATTTAATCACATTTTTACTAATTAATTCAAATAGATGACTTTCAATTGCATTAAAAACTCTCATAAATTCAAGACTTAAGGTTCATTTTTACTCTCTGAACTTTTTTCAAAGAGCACTGGGTATCCTGGGGCAAATTCCCCTTGAACCATTTTTTAATGAGCAAAAAACTCCTTTCGTTAGTCTTCACCAATTAACTGTCATTTTCTATTAACATGGCAAGCATGTGGGGCTTACGCACAGTGATAGACAAGACTCTGACTATATAATTTAGTGCTAATTTGCCCTTGAAATTTTTTCCTGGAGCACTGGGCAACCTGAATTCTTGTTAAGATAAAATTTAATAAATATTGTTAAAATGTTAAATATTAAAATTCAAGTATTATTGTTTAAAAATATCCATCCAAAATTTATAAAATATTTTTTAAATATTAATAGCTCAAACTAGTTTTTTCGTAAATTTATAGTGGACTTGTAAGTTGTATGTGAAGATTTGTGGTAGATGATGATGATGATATTTATAAATAAATTATAGAAAATGACCTTATAAGACAATTAATATTGATAGGTTTATTAAATTTTTTATGTCATTCTCTATAATTTTTTGGTCAAATAATGGTTTTCCTAAAAAACATTTGCGCTACCCAAATTTAATATTTTGATATTTTACAACTTTATATTAAAAACAGAGGAATTGAATCTCCAAATTAATGGATAAAATTAATATTGTCATGTTAAATTTGCAATTCATGTTTCCAGTTGAAAAATTGAAAACATATTGCATTTGAAAATACTAATTAAGAACTTAAGGGACTTGCTTTACATTTTAAAATTTGTTGAGACTTTATTTGAATAAAGTAATTTCTTAAATATCATTCATCCCAATGAGTAGGAATTGCTCTAGATATATTTTAATCAATATATTTTTAGCCTAGTTGAAAAGTTGAGCAAGTGACATTTTAGTTCTAAATATCCATTAATTTGAATGTTAGTTGGGAAAAAAATTATGGAGAAAGACTAGAAAATTTAAGAGATTTAATTAATATTAATTTTATTATAAGATATTTTTCTATAATTTATTTGTAAATATTATTATTATTATTATTTTTTATAAATATTTACATACAAGTTACAAGTCATCTATAAATTTTGTGAAACTAGTTGAGTTGTTAATATTTAAAAAATAATTTATAAATTTTAGATGAATATTTATAAATAATAATATTTAAAATATTAAATATTAAAATGTTTAATATTTTAATAACATTTGTTAAATTTTATTTTAACAAGACTTTAGGGTGCCCAACACTTATGGAAAAGAGTTTAGAGGTAAATTAACGCCAAAAAATATACAAGATTATAGTCCTACTTATCATTGTGAGTGGGCTCTATAGACATGCCACATTAGCAAAAACAACAAACTTAACGGGTGATTAAAGGAAAGGTTTTTTTTTTTTGCTCCTTGAAAAAATGATTTGTATAGAAATTGCCCTACTTATCAATATACTGAGCCTAGCACTTCTAAAGAAAAAAAGTTCAAGGATACAAATCAACCTTAGCCCTAAATTTAATGAAATATTTGGAAGTCATCAAATCCCCCACATCTAAACATTTGCTTGTCCTCTAGCAAAGAAAATCACTTTACAAAATGGATGAAAGAAATTGTAGTGCTTGTTGCAAAGTCAAATGCAATTCAAACTTTTAGGAGCTCAATGTAACCAAAAGCCTTTCTTACCATCCAAAAATATTAGTAAGGCAATTATTTAAGCAAAGATAATTTTCAATAGCTTGTCCCTCACCAGTTAAGTATTTGTTGTTACACTTCGATACTAAGGGTATGACTGGCATGAAATATGAGATAAACTCACATTCCATAAGTCTTAATTATATGAGATTGAGTTAAAGTATCGATAAATAATATATATATATATATATATAATTGTAAGGTTCGAAAAAAAATTAAATATTTTGTAGAAATTTTGGCAGAGTCTCCCTTGTAATTTGACCATTTTAAAATTTATATAATAACAAAACCTGTCAGCCAATACAGCAAAGGAGTTAGCTCCGCACTAGTAGATTATATATCAATAAAATAAAACTAAGATCTAACTATGGTATACATGGAGCACTAAATTATAATCTAATAATACAATATAGTTTTCACCTAAGAGATGATCAAAAGGTGTTTCCGCTATTCAAAAAGCTATGGGGCCTCTCAATGATTAGAGGAGGCATAAGGTCAGTTATAATATTTGAAATCAAAAAAATTTTTGGTGAGTAGCACTCCAATTAGAATTAGAATTAAAATAATTTACAAGATAAAACTAATAAATTTAGTCTAAAATAATTTTATGAAATAATGAAATATATACTTGAATTAACAATAAAGACAAATTCTTTTTCAATAATATAATTATGAAATTAAACAATACTAATAGAACAATATAAATTTATCAAGATTTATACTGCTAATAGAATATAATAATTTCAAGTAATGACACAATTAGGTAAAATGCTTTTAGAGAATTTATAGAAATAATAAATTTTAATTTTAAATTTAAAGGGTTTTATCAGAACGAATAACAAGCGTGGACGCACAATGTATGAGGACAAATAACGAATCAAGCATGGACACGTAGTCCACAAGAGTAGGTAACCAGTCAAGAATGATTGAAAGCTAGGAAACAAGCGTGGCAGGAACTATGAATCAAACGCAGACATGAAGCCACAAAAACAAGCATGAGTATGATGCTTACGAATAACTATCTCTCTATTCCACGTGCATTGGCCATCGCATGGGGTTAGCACCTTCTACAAATACCCTACTAGTTAGGTGTGCTATAGTGCACTAAGGGCTAATGATATTGCTATTAGCATCTAATGTTTTGAACTTAGTTCTCCCTTAGTAAAATCACGTGTGTATGGAGTATGAAAAAAAATTTCAAAAATTTCACTTGCAAGCACTATTCAACTATCATTTTTCATTATCCAAATTTATTATCATTTTTTCATACATGAATGATTGCATAAAATTTTTTGTATCAACATAGAATTAAGTAATTAAATTGTCTTTTATAACTAATATCGTTTATCATACATCTGTTTCAATCATTACTTATTAACAATATAAATTATCAGTAAAATTAACATACTTGCATTAATAAAACAATTATTAGAAAAATAACATTAACAAGAATACAACAACAACAACAACAATAAGCCTTTATCCCACTAGGTGGGGTCGGCTACATGGATTGCAAGACGCCATTGTGCTCTATCATTTATCAAGCTTTTAGGAATATTATTAATTAAGAGATCGCGTTCAACAACTTCCAAGAGTATTCTCTTAGGCCTTCCTCTACCTCTCTTAATCGAACTCAAAGATATATGTTCCACTCTTCTCACTGGTGCCTCCCTTGGTCTTCTTTGTACATGCCCAAACCATCTCAACCGATTTTCTACCATTTTTTCCTCAATAGGTGCCACCCTCACTTTTTCGCATACGTGCTCATTTCGAATTTTATCTTTACGTGTATGTCCGCACATCCATCGTAACATTCTCATCTCTGCTACTCCAACTTTATGCTCTTACTGTCCTGTTAGAGCCCAGCATTCACTACTATATAACATTGCCGGTCTGATAGCAGTGCGATAAAACATTAACAAGAATATTTGTATAATTTATAAATGAATATATTAAAATTTAAATAAAGAGATTTTATAAATACTTTTTTAGAAATTGATTCAAAATGTTACACACTCACCTAAAAGTTTTTCAAGAATTCTAAAGTATGTTTCTCTTAACTTTTCACTTTAATTTTAAATGATGCCCTTAATTTTCTGAAAAAAATCACAATTCTAAAGTTATTTATCAAGTAATTTTCTAAGCACTTAGCGAGCATTTAAATTTAATCTAAATAATATTAAAAATAATATTTTAACTAATTATGTTTCAAATATATTTGAGTTAAACCTTTGACAATTCTCAATTCATCATCATATCTCCTTGTAATCTATTCTCAATTATAAGTCATAATAACTCATGTAAACCATTCTCATGCTTCCTTTAAATTTAATAACATCCCATATAAGCACTCTATGTATTCCTTACTTTTATTTTGGTATTTTAAAATTCCAAAACTTACATATACTCATTCAAGTAATATTTATAATTCTTCTAAGCTTTACTGTAAAAATTTAACAATCTCATTTCTACCAACAAACCTTTCAACCATACCAGTACTATGAGAACATTTACCACTAACTAAATCATGAGGCAATCATCCAAGCAAATTCAATAATTTTTAATATTTAATTTCTTCATCAATCTTAAGCTCAATATTAATAAAATAGCATCCAATATTGTCCAAAACAGCACCTAAATTCTTCATTCAAACATTTTCACAAACACCTTGATGGTATCCAAATTCAACTCACAACAATCATCCAACCATTTAATCAACTTCCAACATTATTTCAATCATCAACATTCAGCCCATGACCAACTTAATATATTGCACATCATCAATTAAAATACAATTCAAATTCCTCAAATTATGACAACAACAATAAGGAATAGGAATGTCATAACTCAGCCAGAGGAGGGGAGGACGATTCGGTGCTGTTATAGAACTTGAAGAGGAAGGAAAACGAAATAACAGCCCACCTCAACAAAACTTAGTGGCAACAAAAAAAAAAACAAAAAAGAATCAGCTCGTGGTCTGCATCGAAGAAGGAGAAAAGAAGAGCTTTCGTCTTCTACATGAACAAGAAAAAGAAACTAGAGATTTTGACCAGCCAACGAAAAGAATCAAGCTACCCTACTCAACACACAAAACATTCAGCAGCTGAAGAGAAAGGTTGAATATGCGTACACACACCTCTTTAGCCATGAAACAGAGCAACAACGGGAAGAGATACAGCAACTCAACACATCAGAAACGAGCAAACAGTAAAAGGAAAGGAACGAACGAATTTCTAGCAGTGGGAAGACAAGCACACGACCAGCAAGATTGAAGCTAATGCAACAGAGAAGAAGAAGAAAATAGAGAACCCTCGCCTCTCTCTCTCATTCACTCTGTTTCGCGTTTACACCGACAATGAAGAAGGAAGAATATGAAATAATAAGCTGATTGGGAAAATGACAAAATAAAACTCAAAGTTTGTTGAGAAAATTATAAAATAAAACCCCACCAGGTTTTTTAATTATTGCTATTATAATATTTTTATAAACAAAAAAAAGAGAACTCTAGTAATTTTCCATATAAGGGAAAATAAAATTAACCTTTAGCTCAAGTAAGATTCAAACTTTAAATTCCCATATATGTAACTTGTGTAAATTCACTAAGCTACTACTAACTTATTTGCTATAACTAAAATAATTAAATAAAATTTCAATAGAGAAGGAAAATCATTTAATTTAAATATTTTTTTGTCATTACATTTTCACTTTAGGCTTAATGTTTTTATTGTAAGATTACCCTTGTTAATTCATACTTAACCACTAACCCTAATGGTAATTAAAGGATTACCCAAAGGAAGTACCATCTCATAAGAAAATAAATCATAAGTTTTCAAAATATTAAAAGTAATAGAAATGGAATTCTAAGTTTTCAAACTTTAAAATATAGTAATAAATCTTTTATAAACCAAAATCAAAGTAAAATATATTCATGAAAGCATGTGATACCAATTTGTTTTCAAAACATTTGCATTTAAGTTGAAAAATAAAATTCAAAAGTAAAGGATGTGCTATAGTTTGTTGCACATGTGCCGCAACATGTTCCTTTTTGTGTTATGTGCTGTGGCTCATTGCACAAAATAACAGCACTGATATTGTCAAATTGATAGCATCTAGCAAAAATTTTTGATGTGCCTCATTCCTCATTTGACATCTGATTAAGGTGATTTAGATGTTCACAGGAAGTTTTTTTAGAGCTCTAGCTAATAGCACTAGTTTCACTCACAAATTATTTTTCAATCAAAAATTGAACACTCATTTGTAACCTCACTCCTTTTTACACTTAAAACACTATTAGGGTGTCCCAAATCACAATTAAATGCTATAAGCTTACAACCACAACAAGACCACACTCAATGGGCTCATAATGACCTGTGCAATACACCACAACATTCCAATAACATATACATCACCCATTCAATGCATAACCCCTTCACTACTACAAAATAAGCTTACAGGAGCGCTTTTTTTTTACCTTAGGGAGCGCTTTTGAAGCGCTCCCGTATCAAGCGCTCCGAAATTTACAAGAGCGCTTTTTTTAAGCACTCCTGTATGTAAGCGATACAGGAGCGCTTTTAGAAAAGCGCTCTCGTAATAGCGCTAGAGTACACGTCATGTACGGGAGCGCTTTATGTAAGAGCGCTCCTGTATGATGCATACCGGAGCGCTCTCTATAGGAGCGCTCCCGTATGCTAACCTTACCGGAGCGCTGCTCCTGTATTCCCCATACGGGAACGCTCTTTATAGGAGCGCTCCCATATGACAACTTACCAGAGCACTCTTTAAAAGAGCGCTCCCGTAAGTTTCTTTACAGGAGCGCTCTTCAAATGAGCGCTCCCGTATATTATATTTATTTTTTTTAAATTAAATTTTTTAAATTTTTCCTTTTAAATATCTTTAATAATGGCAAATCATAATATCAAAAACTAATTTAAAAATAATATCAACATAAAAATTTTATATACAAGAAAAAAATTTGAAACTGATACAACAATTTCAATTTCCAACTAACCTAGTTTAATTTCTAACAAGCCTAACAAATGAAACTATTGTTATTTTTTTAACATTGAAATCTAACTTCCTATCACAAACAGCCAATAATATATTCTGACCATTCTTCAACTAAATCTTCTATTTGCTCCATAGTAAAATGCAAATATCTTGCTCCAACAAAATACTACACAAGATTTGAAAGCAATATATAAGTAATTAACATTATATTAACTTAATTTCAAAGCTTTTGACTTACGTTTTCAGGAATGATCAACTCTTGTTGTGTGATTACTTCTCTCATAAACTTCATAACATAGTATCCACACTCCTAACCTTGTAATTGTGTAGGTACCTATAAAATAATAAAAGATGTCATTTATATGGTAGAAATAAATTCTAACTTAATTTAAAATACTTCAGTGATGAAGTTATATATATGATACAAGTATTTGCTGTCGAAAATCCGGTAGAGTCTCCCCTATAACTTGGAAGTTCCAGAATTTTCCAAAAATTCTACATCAATCCAGAACAACATATTCAGAATAACAAACATAAAATATCAATCAAACAATCATTTAGATATGTACCAACTTGTTTTATTAAGAAAATAATACAAACCTTTATTTTTTTCCAAGAATAAAACTCAACAGGATCAGGTCTTTCGGTGTTTGGAGGGAGACCTTCACCTCCTCGATAACGTGCTACAGCCCTATTATATAATGATTAAGCATACCAAGTAAAAATTAATTATTATAATAAACATATAAAAGGATATAGAACTAAAAACTTACTGATTAAATAATATCCTCATAGATTTGTAGTTCTTAAAGTCACTATCTCTTAATGAATCAAGATAATAAATCATAGGGACGAATGGGTGATACAAACAAGCACCCAATGTTGCCTGAAAAAATAAAATAGTTCATTAACTAAAATATCAACTAAAGTTAAAAATAAACAATAATAACAATTTACCCTGGATTGTGAGGAGCTAAAAATAACATGTTTCTTTTGCCTTTGACTTTGAATGCATCAGTAATCTTTTGAGAATGGTATTCAACACTGTAGGTACTAGTGTTGTGCGGGCTAATAAATGAAAATTTTGTTATCAATGAGCCCGGCACCACAAAAGTATGATATAAGTACCTAAAATGAAAAAAAAAATAGAATCATTCATAACTAAAATTAAATAAATACCACAATAAGTAATAAAATTGAGAAAGTACCTGATGTATAAACTAATTTGTGTTGTTTGTAGCCAATCCTTGGTCAGAATCTCGTTAATATTTTCAACTGCTAATTTTTCGCTAATTATTTCACCATAAATCTCCTTTTCAAATTCTACTTCACGGATCTCATTTTTCAATGTTGTCTGCATAATCATTTCAAGTGCATTTTGATGAGGATATTTCAACTGAGTAGATTCTGTGCTGGTCTTCCTTGCCTTAGTCACAGAGGTAGATCCTTTCGATGGCTTTCCTTTCGCTTTGATTGGCTTCTTTACAACTTCTTTAAATTTTGAGGACTACAAGATGTAAAATGGATTGGTAAGGCCGTAAGAAAACATGAATGATTTTAAAGAACCATCAATTATTATACCTGTAACTTAATGAGCTTTGAAGGCCAAGCCACATAAGTTCCAACGGCATCAAAAATCGTGAATATATCCTCATCTTCTATTTACACTGGCAACTCAGCATCATTTTCTATTGAATAGTTATAGTCACCTTTAAGTGATCAGCAGGCAACGGTCTGGAGTGTATAGTAACACTATTATCATTATACACAGATCCATTGCCACAACACGACAATGTGGTGATTCTAACCATAATTGACATTGAGACTCGCCCTAAAAATTAAAAATTAATATCTTAAAAAAATGTGAAACATAATTTGTGAATAAAGAGAAGATAATAGAAAGAAAAATTATAACCTTAGGAAAGTCTTCTTTAGTATGGAAGGAGCAACTATCTTTATCACTGGGGCTACCTTGTGGCATATTTATAACTCCAATCATTTGCTCAAATCTCTTTTCCATTTGAGATTGAAATTTTTTTTCCATTCTCGCCTCCATTTCTGCCATCCTTGCATTAAAATCATCTTTAGTAAAAATTTTAGACTGACGTCCAAAGTAGGTGCCCTGAAAAATGCCAAATCCAACTCCTCTAACACGACCAGAGACCTCTGGAGCTCCCAATGCCCTACCAAGGACATCCACATGCTCCCCCACATCATCTTGTGATATTGATTGTGATAATGTTTCCTGTTGAACAAATTGTAAACTAATTATTAAGTAAATAATGTAAATAAAGTAATACACTAAAATATTAATACTCACACAATCCTCCTAGACTTTTCGAGTGCGTTCATCAGGTAATTTGCCTTCTTTATCTTCTCGAGCAGTCTTCCAAACAAGAGCTCGAGAAATTGGAGCATTAGGTCCAACTTCTTCCCTCTATTTAAAGAAGATATTAGAATAATTTAAAAATATTTCCTTATATATATATATATATAAGTAATATCAACAGACGATATTAATTGAAACTCACCAAACTATGTTCAATATCTGGATAGCTCTTTCTTCCTGCTCTATATTGAAAAGGAGTACTTGCGGCTCTAGAGCGATTGACCTGGCTGATCTGTTGAAATTCAGGCTGTTGGCGCATTTTAATAAATTCATCCCAATGCTCTTGCTGGATCTCTGGATACATTTTAGGAGGATGAGGATTGAATTCTTCATTTGCATCTTTTAGATGATATGTTGTGAGGGTAGCTCGAAACTTTCTATGAGCATATGCTGCTTTTCTCATGATATAATGCCTATGACTCTCATCCAGGTCAAAAGATATACACAAATCTTCCCATATATTATTTTTTGCTTCTTCAAGCTGTGGGTCATTTTTCTTTCTCCAGTCTGCAATGCAACAGGGAACATAATGACGAGCTAAGACCCTATGTAACTGGCCAACTGAGGAGACTTAACTAATTGGCCCCTATCATTCCAATTTACTGGTAATTTACGACCAGCTGCTCGAGCCCGTATTACTGCTTTCATAACAGTTTTACCCCGTTTAACCTCCTTGAATGCTTCTTCTTCAGTGGGTGGAGCATCACCACTGTTCTCAGGTGGGGTAGCCATATACCTGAAAGGAAAAATGTAAATTTTTAACAACAAAAAAAAAATTAACAACTAAAAATAAATTTTTAACAATTAAAAGGAAATTTAAATAAAGAACTTACAAGTGTTAAAATTTATTTTTTCTTTTTTTGTTTTTTCTTTTGTGTGTTCTACATATCCCTCATCAATCCAAATCCCTTCCGCGTGATCTTCTCTAATATAGAAGGCATTATCCCCAGTTGAAACATCAAATGTCCGTGATGTTCCCATGAAAGGGTCATCCTCAACATTGAAATCTTCATCCTCCTCATTACCCACTATTTTATTTGTTAAAAGAACAATCGACCAATTTTTATGCACTGGATCTGACACATAAAACACTTGTCGAGCTTGTGATGCCAAAATGAATGGTTCATCTTTATGAGCCACCTTATTAAGATCTACTTGAATAAAACCTAACTCGTCAATTCGAAAGCCGTTTTTATTGTCAACCCACGTGCAACAAAAGACAGGTTCGCGAAACTTGATATAATCCAATTCCCAAATGTGCTCTATAATCCAAAATATGACATCATTGCATAGATTGGATTCTTGTCTTTAAAACTAGAGACATGCATTGATTGAGCTTTAAGCGTTACACCACTATTCTGCATAGTGCTCCGAGCATCTTGACTTTTCGTATAAAATGTAAAGTCATTAATTACATAACCTGTATAAGAAAATACTTCAAATCCAGGACCCCTAGCCAAAAACCTCAACCTTTCTGATGGGTGAGACTCCTCAGAGATGCGAGATCTAAACCAATATATAAAGTGCCGGTTGTGATATGTTGCTAGCCATGTTTCATTTTTACCTTTATTCTGACTCTTAACTATTGCCTTGTGTTCGTTGATATATGGTTGAACTTCCTCAGTGTTGTGTAAAACATACAAGTGAACTTGCTCCCATTGTGTCTTGTCTATGCTAATGAGTTTCTTCCCAATGATTCCACCCTATTCACCTGTGGTGTCTTTTGTGTACTTTGGCAACCCAATGGCATCCACATTAGAGAGATATCCAGTACATAATTCAACTGCTTCTTCCATGATGTACCTCTCAACAATACACCCCTCTGGGCCGACTTCGATTTTTTACATATCCTTTTAATACTTTCAAGTAACGCTCTACTGGGTACATCCATCTCAAATAAGCGGGGCCACATAACTTTATCTCTCTAACTAAGTGAAATGATAAATAAACCATGATGTCGAAGAACGAAGGCAGAAAATACATTTCCAGCTCGCTTAAAATCTTAGCTATTTCATGTTCTAGCTTTGGCAATTTTTTCGGGTCAATCACCTTGCTACAAATTGCCTTAAAGAAGAAACAAAATCTAATAATCGTGGCTCGCACCTTCTTCGGCAAAATGGATCGTATACCAACCGGCAATAAATTTTCCATGATGACATGACAATCATGAGTCTTGAGACCTACTAGTTTGAGGTCTTTCATGGATACGAGGCTACTTACATTTGAAGAATATCCTTCTGGCACTTTAACTTCATGCAAGAATTCACAGAAAGCTAATTTTTCCTTTCTAGACAAGGTGTGAGCTGCTGGAGGTAAAAAAGTGCGTTTTCCCTTCCTCTCTGGTGCCAACTCTTCTCTTAACCCCATGCTAATCAAATCCATCCTTGCATTAATTCCGTCTTTACTCTTTCCTGAAATGTGGAGTAATGTGCCAACAAGACTATCGCAGACATTCTTTTCAATGTGCATTGCATCTAGGAAATGCCTAACATCTAGGGTCTTCCAGTATGGTAGCTCAAAGAATAGGGACTTTTTTTTCCAACCATTCTTAACAATCTTACTTGCAAATGGTTTTCCAAATTCAATATTTAAATCTTTGACCTTTTCAAAAAGCTGCTCACCAGTTAATGGCATGGGAACTCTACCCTTCTCCGGGTGGCCATTAAAGGCCTTCTTCAGTCGTCGGTAATGATGTGTTTGCGGCAAAAATCATCAATGACCAATAAAGACATTCTTCCTACAATGTTCCAACCGCACTGAACATGTGTGCTCCTCACATATTGGACATGCATCTCGTCCTTTGATACTGTATCCTGATAAATTGCCATAGGCAGGAAAGTCATTTATGGTGCCAAACAACATTGCTCGCAGGATGAAATGTTCTTCTCTATACCCATCATAAACTTCCACACCTGTCTCCCACAAAATCTTCAGATCTTCAATCAGAGGAGCTAAGTACACATCTATATCATTTCCTGGTTGTTGAGGCCCAGAAATCAACAATGACAGCATCATAAATTTGCGCTTCATGCACAATGCTGGAGCGAGATTGTAGATCATCAAAATAACCAGCCATGTACTATGAGTACTACTTTGCATGCCATGTGGGTTCATTCCGTCAGTGGCTAGTGCAAGGCGTAAGTTTCTATCTTCAACCCCAAACTCAAGGTATATAAGATCAAACTTTTTCCATTGAGGAGAATCTGCAGGGTGCCGTAGCTTGCCATCCTTAATTCTCTCATTAGCATGCCATGTTAAGTGTTTAGCATCTTCTGCAATGCTATATAGGCGTCTAAATCTTGGTATGATTGGAAAATACCACAATGCCTTCGCTGGGCTACATCCATTTCTTTTGTACCGTGATGCATCATATTTTGGACACTTATCTAAAGTTGAATACTCTTTCTGAAAGAGGACACAATCATTTAGACATGCATGTATCTTCTCATAGCTCATCCCAATAGAACAGAGCACTTTTTTAGCTTCGTAAGTATTAGGTGGAAGCTCGTTGTACTCAGGTAACATTTCATATAAGAGTTCAAGCAAATCCGTGAAACTTTTATCGCTCCATCCATTCGCTGCTTTTAGGTTGTATAGTTTCAAAATAACTGATAGTTTTGTGAATTTTTTACAACCGGGGTATAATGGTTTATCAGCATCACTCTTCAATCTCTCAAACATCTCAGGACAGTCTCTAAGATCCTCTTCAATCACATCAATCATTTCATCAAGACGGTCAACATCATATATCCCACTATCACGATCAAATGTTGAGTAGCTCGCACTATCCCTCCAATCACTTGCATTATTCCTTCTCTCCCCATGCATGGTCCAACAAGTATAAGTTGGATCAATCCCATTACATATTAAATGATCTTTCAATTCTATTGGCTTTACTCTTTTTCCATAGCAACATTTCAAACAAGGACATATGACTCCATGGGGGTCTTGATCACGACAAAATGCAAATTCAATGAATTCATCTACACCATCCCAATATTCTCTAGATAGTCGATTAGCCAACATCCACTTACGATCCATGTCACTAATATGATTACCAAAATTCAATAAACAAAAGACTTAGATTCTATAAAAAAAAAAAAATTCAACAGCATCTTCCTTAAAAGAACAATCTCTCAAATGATCAAACAATCAAATTTCACAACACAATATATCTAAACTAAATAAATCAATTCATCCAAATAAAAATTTAGTACCATAATGTATCTAAATTCTGTCAATCAATTGTAATTTAATTAATAACAATAATCTCCCATAAAAGTATATTTCATAAATAAAATAAAAATGTTCAAGTAGTTTCCTCAACTTTAATCTAAATTATCAACTACAATACTCCATAATTTTAATATAAATAACTTCAATTCATATATTTTCTATAATATTTATTATTAAAAAAATATTTAAAATTTATTCTCAAATATATATAAATTAATTATTAAAAAAAATACCTTCAAAGTGTAGTCTTCACGGCAGCAGCGACGTCGATTCCTCTGCTGTACAGCAGCGACGTACAGCGGCAACGGAGGTCTTCACGGCGTCCCTTCCTCCGGTGTACAGCAGCAGCACAGATCTGCAACAGCAATACAGATCTAAAACAGAGATGTAAATCTGGAACAGCAAACAGCAGACAGCAAATAGCAAACAGCAAAATAGATGGATGGTGATCTGCAACAGCAATACAGATCTGGAACAGAGATGCAGATCTGGAATAGCAGAACAGATGGAGGCATAGCAACGGCGACGCAGAGACCAGGCAGCGACGGCACGGCGGCGGTGACGCGGAGACCAGACAGCGACGCGATGCAGAGATCGGACAGCGACGGCGACTGCGATGCGGAGACGGATGGCGACGGTGACACAGGGGAGGACGGTGACAGCGGCGGCGGTGGCGACGCAGGGGAGGACGGCGACAGTGACGGCAATGCGGCACAGAAACAAAGAGAGATGCGCGACACAGAGAAGGAATGAGAGGCAACAAAAGAGAGAGAGGTGTGAAAGAAACTAAATGGAGAAAAGAAAACTGACGGATGGATATAAGAGTGGAAAGACTCTTCTGGAGCGCTCATTATGGAGCGCTCCGGAAGAGCTTCTTCCGGAGCGCTCTACGAAGAGCGCTCCGGAAGAGCGCTTGTTTCGGAGCGCTCTTCGTCGAGCACTCCGGAAGACTTATCTCTTCCGGAGCGCTCGAAGAAGAGAGCTTCGGAAGATGCGCTCCGGAAGAGCGATCAGGAGCGCTCGTCGAAGAGCGATCAGGAGCGCTCGTCGAAGAGCGATCCGGAAGGTTTTCTTGTAGAGCGCTCTTCAGCGAGCGCTCCCGAAGAGCTATCTTCCGGAGCGCTTAAGTACGAGCACTCCCGAAGGTATTTTTAAATTTTTTGTCATATTTATATATATATTAATTAGGTGCGTTATCTTATTGTAAAGCCTGACATACAAGAGTGCTTATTTAGAAAAGCGCTCCAGTAAATTCCGCATTCACATTTTGGAGCGCTTTTTAAA